AGTCCTGTTTACTGTTCCTGTGACTAAATCTTGAGCAGATGAGTCAGGTGCGGGTTTATTGTTATTTTGGGTTTTGGTTTTTGTTCCTTTTTTTTTTTGTTTGGTTTGGTTGTTGGGTTTTTTAAATTTTTTTTTTTTTTTTTTGTATTTTAGTAGTAAAACAGCTTTCAAGTTTGGTCCCTCTGCTATAAGACAGTAAAAGCTGAAAGAACCAAAACTTTCCATCACTGACATAATAACAGGTAGTTTCCCTTAAGCTAACTAAGTTTGCTTTTATTAGGTAACTAAGGAGCAGGCAGTAAGACATCCACCCAGCCTGGAGGGGAAAAAACTACCCTTCAGAGACATACAAAACAGGTGGAGAGATGCTGACAAACTCTGATTTTCCTATGTTATTTATACTGGCTGACAGAACGAGTCACATTATGCTACTTTTTAATAGCTTTCTCACCTTCCTGAAATGAATTACATGCTTGCAGAGCAGTGATGGTAAACCAGGATTCATAGCTGTCATTATTAGTTTTGTGACATCGTTAACATCAGTGTAGCTATTTGTATTCGGTTTCCATGAATCAGCTGTAATATATTGTGATAAATAATCTGTCCAGAGGGACATCAGCATTGCATCTGAGTAACAGCACAGACTAATCCTATGAAATCTGCTTTGATGCAGTCTGTGAAGTTAGGCCTTGTGATATCTTTCTGAATCAGGGAGGTGGCTATTATCGGTTTATTCCTCCTGATAAAGAAATTATGGAGCAGTTTTTTTCAGAAGTACTTAAATACCTTGGTATTTGTGATTTAAAGTTGATGTTTTTCAGCAACAGTGTGTGACCCTACTGTCTCTATTAGCTACATATGCACCATTACATTAAACCTTCACCTAAAGCAAAAGCAACATATTTGGCCATGATGGAAGGTATTCTTTTGAACACTATATTGCAAGAGATAAGATCACATTGTTAATACAACTTCTCTTCAACCAAAACTTGAGAGTTCACCTACCAATGAAGAAAGAGCTTAAAAGGAAATGGAAGGGAAAGGGGAAGCTTATAGCCTGTCAAATACAAATTCTACAAAACGGCTTTTATATTTAAGGTAAATTTATGTTTATTGTTGTAGTAGTACAAATGATGATGATGTGATTTAATGGGCTGTTAGCACAATAATGCCCCAGGCCTTAAAAGTGACACAGACTTCTATCATCCATTTGGATGTCATCAACGACTCTGAATGCAAGGGAACATGTTCTTCTATTATCGACCTGTTGTCTGATGATGAATTTAGGGATTTATGGATTTAAAATATATTTTTTTCTGAGTTTAATATCTTTAAACGTTGACTTTGCCAACACCTGATATATAAGTATAATCAATTGATACAGGCGTTTCACACACTTGAAAATGACATTCGGCAGTGTGTGTCAAATAGGTACAATACTTCTTGAATGCAGTTTTACTCTTAAAAATAGTAGTTAAGAGTGTTTATTATGACTCCTAAAAAATGTGGTTTAAGTTAATTAACTTGTAATTAATTTTTAAAACAAAATTAATGGCTGTATACTGATTTGTTTCTGTTACTCTTCTCTGGATCTTAGAAAATTATTTAAAATGTGTGTTTAATAGATTCATGCATTTTAGACCAAATGAAATACTACACCCCACTCCCAGTATTTGTTTAATGGACTGTATCATGCTGATACACTATGTGCACCTTCCACAAATGGGTCATTACAATGGTCAAAGTATGAAGAATAAAGCTCTGTTCTTTGGCACTAAAGGGTGAGGGGTAAGTTAAAGATGTGGGAACACCTGATTGAATACAGATGTGGTGTTATCTCAGTGAAATCAGAACAAAGTTTGTTTGCAGTAGTTTAAAACAAAAATGCAAAATCGTTACAGCTTTGTGTAAAACAAAAGGTTTCTTTCTAAGAGAAAACAGATCTAACATTCACAGTGGACTTTGCCTCCTTCAGTAGTATTATGTACAGGGTTTTTATTTTTTGCAACCTGTATTTTGCTTCAGTCAGATGCATATACAAATCCATATATTGCCCTACATCCATTTTTTAGGTGCAGCACTGTGAGAGGCGTGATGGAGCTGCTTCTGCACATCCTGCAGTCTTCAGCCCCAGACACCATGTGCTGACCCTAGGGAGAGGGGGCCAGAAACCCTCTTATGGGGCCAGAGACCCACTTATGTCCCAAAGGAAGTCCAGCTACTCAGCTTGAACTGGGAATGGGATCAAGCCACCTTGTGACAGTAGTTTTGAAGTAACATCAGCAGACATGGGTCTTTATCTGCCAGACACTACATGACCCCCTTTCTGCAGGTTCTGGCAGAGGAACGGTGAATTCATTTGCTTAGGGATGATTTGACAAAGGATCACTTGCTTTTATTCAGCCAAGAGAGTACTTTCCACCACCAGGATGTGGCATCAGTGGTATGTGCTAGTCTGCCAGGGAACAGGCTGAAGCTATCTAAGTATTTGTTACAAAACATTAACCACAGCTTCAGGAGCACTGTTAATAGCCTTTTTAGTTTCAGAAGCTAAAGTAGTATTATTTATAGTGTTCATGGACAGCTAGCTAAACTTGCTGTCATGGGAATTTCATGATCATATTCCCATTAAATTCAGCAGAAGTCAAGCTGAGGTGTTCTGTAGCCAGCCTGTGGAAAACCCCACCAGTTTGTGCTCCCAACCTGTCACAAAGGTCTGACGCAAGACTTAAAAGCCTGATTTTCAAGTTATATATCAGGAGTCAATTAGTTAAATAATATCCTAATTTACTCACTAGTATTGTAAGGATCTGTAATTTCAACTACCTTTTATAAATTTTAAAGAGAGAGACTGACGAAGTATTTACAATGTTTCTGTGCTCACCCGGCTCACAAAGAGTGTTGCTCGTAGACAGAGTAGTGGGTAAGGAAACGTGGTTGCTCACAACAGCCAAGCAGGTATGCATAATTTTTTAGCCAGCCTTGACATAATTCCTTTAATTTTTCTAAAATCCTCTTGTACATCTTAATTATCTGGTGTAGTCTCAGGACAGATTTGATAAGGAGAACCATGAACTATTAATTTTCAACTTCAGGGTGTTAAAATAACTGATGAAGCTTGTACTAAGAGAAAAAATTCAAATATTTAAGGATAAACACACAATGTGGTACCTGTGAGAATCACAGTAGCTGGTTAATGTAAGGGATGCGAGAATAGTTGATAGACTGAAAAATGTGCCAGCCTTTCAAGTATGATACTTTTGAGATGCAACATAAGCAGAAGTTATATGGTTAGCAGATCTATTTTTCTTCCAAGTGCTAATGGCAAAAAGATAAAAACAACAACAAAACCCCAAAGAAATTAGGCTTGTTATTATTATGTCTTTAATTCTGGCACTCAGATAAGCCTCTACTTGGGACAAGATATGTTTATTTAAACTCAAAGTGCTCTAAGTCATATCAGCTAATCTTTGCTAATTGACATAAATTTAAAGCCTAGTTGATAAAAGAATTTTCATGGTAACAATAAAGTATTAAAAAAATCTCCAGTTTTGTTGCTAAAATACTGACTTCATTGTTCACTCTGAAGCTTCCAATTACCTGATCTGCTGACCTAGTGCAGTACACTACCTGATCATCTTAAACAGCCACCATGTAGGTGTCACAAGTGCAATCAGCCTCAGTGATAAAGCCAACAATTCGTAGAAGTTAGACTTTTCCATTCTATAACAGTGAGGTTGTAAGACTGCTTTATTAAAATCTGTGGTTTGGTGTTTTTTGTTTTTTGTTTTTTGTTTCTTTTTTTATAATGAACTATAAAATAGACATTTATGAATTATAATAATGTCATTTCAGAGGTAAGAAGGAAGAGTACTGAAAGGAAGCAATAAATTCCAGGGAATTAGTGAAGAAACCAGCAGAAAATAGAGGTGAAAAAGAATGGGCTGTGGAGAGGGAAAGTACTGCATGCAGTTATTAGGTAGAAGAAAATAAGGTTTGTCATGACAGCATGATGGCAAATAAAAAGTGACTTATGAGTTAGTAGTAAGAGATATCTGTGATATTACCAGAATCAAGAAATGAAAAAGGTGTGAAATTTAAATGAGAAGCTGTGGGATGTCTGGTCTTCCCCGTGTTAGAAGATACATCATGTAGTACAGCCAATGTTTTGTCAAACATTCCCTCCATGGAAGTGGTTGGGAAGTGGGGAGTGATGACTGTCAAGAATCTGTGTGTCAGGAAATGAATTTTAAGAGAAGAACAGAATATTAATTTGACTGATTTGGTTGCCTGGACCTACCTCTTCCTCCTTTCTGTGAAATTATGTCTTCCCTCGACAAAGAACATTTATAAAACAATGTTTTGTGTCCCTTCTTATTTTGTAAATTAAAATAGATTTCAAATATGAATTTTATGGTGGGAAATGGAGCTGAGTCAGAGGTAAAGGAATGTATGCTTGCAGGAGTCTAGTTATAGATATATAGTGTTTTGGCCTGAAATTTGTAAGTACTGGTTGTGGGTGCAGAACAAAATAGTGTTAATCTAATGTAGATCTTTGGAATGGTCTTGAAGTTAAGATATTTACCTAGATTTATCACCTTTATGTGAGAAAAGCAATAAAATGAGCATTCTTAATGTGGCTTTTTCCAGCCTAGTGTATCAAGGTTATGTAGAGCTACTGGTGAGTCCTGTTTGTCTCTATTTCATAGGTTGCAACTCAAGCAGGATCATCAATATGAAATGAATATTTAATATGAAAAATATTAAATGTATTTGTTCAAATTCAGGCAAAAGGTGCACATTCTTAGAGGTTTTATCAATTATTTGGATAATGGAATAAACCTATTTCTCAAGGGATTTATTTTGATTTTCTTTATAAACCTGTGTTGCTGTTCCTAAAAGAAAACACTAGAAGAAACGGCTAGTTTGATCTAACCAAAGTAAAAAACATTATATGTAGGTTGTTTCTTCTTTAAACTATCTGTATTTCCTTCAGGAACAGGAGCCTGAAATCAGCATTGTTCTGTCATGCAAACTGGAGCCAAAACCCCCAGATATCTGAGCAACAGGGACTGACAATTCCTAATTAGCTATGGAATGCGACATTTGTACCAGTAGGAAGGTAAAGGGAGATGGTGGATATTTGTGTGGTCCAGTGTTGGAAACCTTGCTCAGTCAAGATGGAAATGAATTCACATACCCTTTAGAATTTAGAAATGTAGCAAACCACTAAACTATACGTAATTTAAATGGATTCCTCATATTCATAGGCTCCCTGCATGATACTAGATTGTTTAGCTTTCATGATTTATTTTGTTACTTTCAATGGAGCTATTAATCATGCTTTCTCATTTTCTTTCACTGCTAGGATTTGACAAGAATTTTCTTTCACCTTGAAAAACTGCATGTTCTGAGGAGTTTCTTTGCAATGCTCCTGTACACTTAGCACACCCTGCTGAGGGAAGGCAGCTTGTTTTCTGCACTGCACTTCTTTCTGAAAGATAGTTTCTAAACCACGGATTTCATTTCTTTCTCAGTAGTGAAAGATCATAAACAAGTATGTCTTTCAAATTGTTTTTCTACTGGAAGCCTTTATGATTCCATCGAAGAGGAAACTGAACTATCATCTCAATAAGCAATGGACCATAAGGCAGTAAACTGATACATTGTTAATTTTTATTGCTAAAGTTTCTTTCTCCTACTGCGATTCAAGATGCTTTTCATATTTTTTATGTTGATTTTTTATGATTGCATTGACAAACCTGTCTGACATTCTCCTCAATTTTTGTGAGATGTGTTGGCCCATAGGAAGTAACAAGGAAGGGAACACAGCAATATCTCAATATCTACGTCCAAAACAACAAATAAAAGGACTAGGCATGTTACAAATGGACCTTCAAGTTGTTGGCCAGGGCTGACAAAGCACCTAGCAGGCTATTCCAGGGACCTGCTCTAGAAAGACCTTGGGAGAGTAGCATGAATGCCCAGTGAAGAAGGAAGCAAGGATATGGAAGTAGTAAGAAATCTATTTGTGGTAGGTGCTGAGGAATATAAGCTTTGGCAATCTCTTGTGTCCATTAGCGTTTTTATGTATTAATAGCAGAAAGGGAAGCTGGGCCTTACAGATTAGAGATCTGCAGGCATAAATTCTCGTTAGGTTGCAGAGGTGGCTGCTCTGGTTCAAGTTATAGTGATAATTTCTCTCTGCTTGTTCAGGTGCTTGTGCACAGAGTTTAACAGCAGACTGTAAGTGCCATGTTTGTTTTCCTTCCAGCCTTAATTTCCCATGCTTGTTGATTACCTAGCAGAACGAGACCCCAGGCTTGACTAGGCTCTGCCATGATCCATCTGGCCAATACAAAATCATGTTTAAAGGTTATCAAGGTACTGATTTTGCAGACTCAATTTGCAGTGTAGTTTGTTAAATAGCTCTGAATACAAAAACACAATCTGCTCCACCAGATTGGGTTTTTGGTTCTTCAGGTCCATTACTCTGCTTCCAGCAGTTGCTTTGTCTAATGCTTCAGCAGAAAGGAGAGGACATACATAACATGTCTTGCCAACAGTATGAAGGTTTCCATAAGGGCAAAATTCCATTTTTAATCCTATGTCATCAGCTCCTGCCCATTACCCACATTTGTTCCATCAGAAATATTTTTTTTTATTTTGAAAATGATCATTTCTTTTCAAAGTCCAATATAAAACACTGTAATCCCTGCAGAAAAAAAAATCCACAGTCAGTCAGCAAAGTGCCTGGAGAAATGTTCTCCGTCCTTCAAAATGACTTACTACAGTGTTCTACTTCTTATGATTAATGTGTATTCAAGGTTAACACAGATATTCTGGAAATCTAACCCTCTTGATGGTACTGATGTAAATCAGAGGTAACTCAGTTTATCCCTAAGGTTAGCTCAGATCGATTTAGCCCTTTGTACTGGTCTCTGATATAGTTCCTGATTTGCAGACTTTGTTGTAAATTGGATAATATTCCTCAATAAAATGAGTGTATGAACTGAAAAAGGTGCATCTATGCTGCATTTGCTTGTGGCTGTGGAAGATTATTTTCAAACATGCTCATCCAGGTAGTCAACATTACAGTTTTTTTAGGAATTACAGTCTGTAAACTTCCTACCTGGCCCATCACCAGCAGCACGTCTAAGCAGGGGTAAACAGGGATTTAGTGTCTTAAGTGCTACTCTTGTCATTGTAGTCTCGCAGCTAGACTTTCAAAAGTCGTGGTCAGTCACTGCCTAATCCTCAGAGCATCTGGGGGCTCTGGCTGCATTTCTGCCAGCACTGTTCCCCAGCAGCCTAAATCTTAAGTGTTGAGAATTTCATGTTTGTACCTTGGTGAGTCTGTATTGGGCTTCATTAACTGTGCACCCACTCTCCTGCCTTGTTGATGTGACCTGGCAAGCTGACAGTTTGCAGCATGGCTTTTAAGACTAATGAAGGAGGAAGTGGTGTCTTCCTTTGCCCACCCGATAGCACACCACTTTGAGAAACTGCACAAGATACATTACTTGGATATTCCCACAGCTGGGGTCCTTTGATGTTATCTGATATGTCACATCTCTGGATGAAAATACTTGTAAATTGTGGGCATCAGCCTTTTTTCCCCCATCTTATAAGCTTCTGTTTTGAATAGGCTACTTAAGTGCCCTATATGGGCACCTAAGCATATATACCTTTCAATATTACAAAGCTGAGCATGTAGCACTCATGTTTCTGTGTGTGTCTCATCTTAGGAAGGAAACATTTAATGTGGTCACAGGAAATCACTCTCAGTGTTTCTCCCCTGGCTTCTAAAAGGACTACTTGGGTCATAAGACATCAGTGGGGTAAGTAGTACTGGGTCTCAAAACAGCATTCAGCCTTGCTTAGTTGTAAAACTGAGACTGTAAAACAATTCAGCTTAAGCTCTGTTTTCTGTGTGACCATTTGGTCCCTGCTTCACTGAGAAGAGCAAATCTGTAATTGGTGACAGAATGGACATACCACCTCTCTGAATCCCAGCATACTATATTGCCAAATTCCTAATGGAAAGTTTCCAAGACTAGGTTGATTTTTCTTGGAGTAAACACTGGAATTCTAATGTTGTTCTAGTATCTTTCTCGCTGTATGGATTTACAAACACCAATATAGTTGATACAAACACCAAATAGGCTCAAAAATATTAAAGCTGCTTCATTCAGAGAAGAAAATGGCAAAGATGTTTCTGCAGTGTTTATAGTTTCATTTTTGTTTGTTTGGTGTACAGATGCAGTGAAATTTACTGTCAGTCCACTGAATTCTTTAACATATTGCTTAAAGTTTAAAATGTATTTCTTGTAAGTTATGGCAATTTACAGAACTTGTGTACTCTTAAGAATCCTTCTTTAGAAAATATTCAAAATTGCATTTAACCAATTTAATGGATATGTAGTAGATACTTGTGTGCTGCTAAAATAGCTGCTGGGTTTTAAACAAGCATACATATGCTGGTTGCTCTTCCAGTCAGCTTATCATTAGGAGCATGCAAAGAATAAGTAATGCCAGTTTAAATGTTCTTGGCAGTGAGATATTTTTTATCTATTATAATCATAAAACTGTGAAAATATAGAAACTTATAGTGAGCTATCAAATCAAGAACTATTGAAATAACACCAGAAAAGCTGTAATTCAGGTGAGACAGTGTTCATACTTACCAGATGTTTCTATTCCCTGCTTGTTCTCACAGAAGGAAGTCCACTTATAAAAGATGAAGGTTGTCAGTTTAATTTGTATAGCTGTGAGGAATAAAGGCTAACCCATTCCAATTTTGTTCTGATGACCTTAAAAAGAGATGGCTTAGTATCCCATTACTAAATGCATTTCCCAAAACCACCTAAATGCAGTTAAATTTTTTTAACATGATTTTAGGTGATAGATATGAATGAAGTCTGTGCAATAACAAATAAAATCAGGGCCTGTTCTGCATGTGACAGGGTGAGAGGAATAACTCCTTGTCTTCAGTACTTAACTAACTAGGCCTGTAGTCTGGTTTTTGTGCAGCGCTAGGTGGTATGTAATTCAAAAGCTTTACTTTCAAGACTTACTGGAATTTTATTTCAGGAGTGGTGAAAGCATCATAAAACCACATCAATAATTTTACACATACGTGCTAAACCCAGCTACCTATTAATTTACATGGAGCTCAGTCTTTCCCCTCTCCCACACAGAGGAAAATCTGTGTATCGAGTTTTGTCTATGTCAATTTTTTAAGTCAAAGAAATAGAATAATTATTTATCAAAGGATAAGTGTCTTTAAAAATGATCTAGTTCAGTATTTTAAAGCTCTCCCCAAGACTGAATAGGGTTCTTTTCTGATCTGTTCACCATGGTGCAGTTTTGCTGTCCCTTCTCATGTTTCTTTGATGCCTGCATGTCTTGGAAAGAGCGGGGGCTTCCAGTGTGATACAAACTCTCTGCCCCTGGTGCTACACTACAGTGAAAGGGCAGCTGTCCTTTGATACCCTTGGGAGGCATTCAGTAAGTGGTAGCTTAAGTTCAGACCCTCCTATCTGTCTACTTTGACACCGAAGAAAGGTAAGAGCACACCTCTTTAGAAGAGGGGGCTGGAGTTTGTTTTCAGTCAGTGTGCTGTTCAGCTAACAAAATAACATCAGATTTTCTCAAATCTTCAAATAAATTTCAAACTCATAAGGTGCATTTGCCCTTGAATACAAATAATTTCAGGGTATTCTCAACACTCAGGTAACAGAACATTTTGAGCACACACAAACAAAACGAGCATGGTAATGATGGCTGGTGTAAAATGAGTTATTTTGTGTCTCTAGAGTTATAAACATTAATGGCTTAATATATATTCCATCTCGAGCCAAATTAATCCTCTCAGCAGAAGCAGTATAAATTTAGACTATATTTTCCAGATGATTTTGCTTACTTCTGATCCCTTTTAGTACATAATGTGCTGTAGCTCTAAGAAAGTGAATGCTTACAAGTATAGATGTTTTATGAGTCAGCAAAGCTGGCATAAAGTTGATGACACTTTGTATGCCCAAAGGAGCTGACATTCACTGCTTAATGAAAAAAAAAAAAATCTGATCTTTAGGCCGATTATAACGCTATAGATTAATGTGCCAATGAGTCAATCTGAAAACATTATCTTGTGCTTGCAGAGCAATTTATGTAACTCAGATTGCAAGAAAGAACAAGTATGAACATAACCTGTTAAAGACACAAGTCAAGAATAACCCAACTGAATTCAAAATACTGCAGTTTCAGCTAGCATTAGCTGATCTGCTTTAATCTTCGCTAGGTCTCTTAGGCAGCAGTTTTCTTGTGCTGAACTTGATCTTCATTTGAATAAAATGCTGGTTGCTGTTTCTGCAATGAATCTGTAAGGGATACTCTCGTTGTCCCCATCATTTTACTTCTTCATCTCGAAATGTTCCTATTATATAGCAGAGTCTGTGCCTTCACACCATGCCTATGTATTTCACCTCTCTCTGCATTATTTTGCTTTTCTTTCACGAGAGAAACAGCAGATCCCAAAGTAGAAATTAAGGCATAGTAATGAACAAAGACAGAAAAAAAATCTCCTTGTTGCAGAGATTATTGTTAGACTTGTTTCTTCCTTGGTTGTCAGTGGGAATTCAGCATTTTACTCTTGGTGCAGATATAGACACATT